GAACGTTTTTTGAATTCATCATGTCCTGGATGACTGAGTATCTTCACCAGCATATCTTTTACCCACTTCTTCCATTTTGGGTCACGGGAGTCACCGGTGCCCATGTCCAGCAGTCACTGTGCGAGGTACACCCTGGACAGTTCGCAAGTCCATCACAGGGACACATAGAGATGAGTTACCTTTCAGCCTAACTTGTTTTTGGTCTGTGGGAGGAAACTGGAGTACCCGGTGAAAACCCACGCATGCACTGAGAAAAAATGCAAACTCCATCCAGAAAGGCCCTCGGACCGGGATTTGAACCAGGGACCTGCTCGCTGAGAGGAAGCAGCTCTCAGTTGTGTCATCGTGCTGCCCACACAAACAAACAAACGAATAAAACAAACCAAAAAAAAAAGAACAAAACTCCCTTCAACTTCTTTATAAGAATTACAAAAAAAGCCAGAATAGAAGACATACTGCTGGTGCTGGTCATAAAATTAGAACATCATGAAAAAGTTGATTTATTTCAGTAATTCCATTCAAAAAGTGAAACTTGTATATTATATTCATTCATTACACACGGACTGATATATTTCAACTGTTTATTTCTTTAAATGTTGATGATTATAATTTACAACTAATCAAACCCCAAATTCAGTATCTCAGAAAAATAGATTATTATTTAAGACCAATTTAAAAAAAAGGATTTTTAGAAATGTTGGCTGAAAAAAGTATGAACTGAAAAAAGTGAAAAGTATGAGCATGAAAAGTATGAGCATGTACAGCATCAATACTTAGTTGTTGCTCCTTTTGCCTGGAGTACTGCATCAGTGCGGCGTGGCATGGAGTCAATCAGTCTGTGGCACTGCTCAGGTGTTATGAGCCCAGGTTGTTCTGATAGTGGCCTTCAGCTCTTCTGAATTGTTGGGTCTGGTGTATCATATCTTCCTCTTCACAATACCCCATAGATTTTCTATGGGGTTAAGGTCAGGTGAGTTTGTTGACCAATTAAGAACAGGGATACCATGGTCCTTAAACCAGGTGTTGGTAGGTTTGGCACTGTGTGCAGGTGCCAAGTCCTGTTGGAAAATAAAATCTGAATCTCCATAAAGTTGGTCAGCAGCAAGAAGCATGAAGTTCTCTAAAACTTCCTGGTAGACGGCTGCGTTGACCTTAGACCTCAGAAAATACAGAAGCCTTCAGTCTGGTCCAGAAAGTTGAAAAGCTTTTCAGAACAAGGACCGGTCAATCTTTCATGGAGCTCCCCAACACCATGGATACTGTAGGGAGAGAATCAAGTCTATTAGAAAGCATGCTTCCTTCATGTCATGATGTGTAAAGAAAAATAACCAGCAGTTTCATCAGGCTGAGACTAAGAATAGCAGCAAAACATATCTTCAATGAAAGTTGAACAGTTCTGCCCAGTGCTGAGCATCTTGGAAATAAAAGCCAGACAAAAAAACATGAAGAAAAAACGAACAGTATCTTGTACAACAACAAGCCCCCACCAAACTCCTTATTTAATTTCACTGATTCTGCATAAGTTATAAGACTTAGGCCCTATTTACACGGACACGATGAGGGAAAACGTAGGTTTTTTCGTATGTTAATTAGAGAAAAAGATCCGCGTTGACACGGACAGATTTTGGGTTTACATGCATCCGGAGGAATCCCCCCGCTCTCCCGAATCCGCTGTAGTTATCATGCCGGGTCATTAGATGGCGCTGTGAATTTTGTACCTTCACCTAATGTGCATGCGGCACGCGCCTTTCCTATGAGCTAAAAAGCTCAGCTAACAACAATTTAACAACAAGATAAAGCTGGATTTTGGCTGGATTGTGGATAAGAGTCGACAGATTTGAAGCCAGGCGGGACCGCTTCATCTAACAGCTCCACACCGGTCGCTGAGTGGACCAGAACCGAGTCGACGATGTCGGATTTACTCCGTGATAATCAGTAGCTGTTTTACAGCAGGTAAATCAACGTTCTTAATAATGTTAGTTTGTGTTTACTTTGGTTACAAAACAACCAACTGAGTTTTTCTTTTTTCGTGAAAGAAGAAGGAGCTGTCCTTCCACCAGGTGGATGGGTTCTGAACGAGGCTCGGCCCAGGTGTAGCGCAGGAGGATGTTGAAGAGAGCTGTTGGATGAACTATTTATTTAAAATTCCCCTCAGTTGTTTTATTCAATCCATTCAATGTTTTAAGCTGCATTAATCAAAGGAGTGACAGCCTGAACGAGGCAGATGAACAACGTGGGACTTCCATACCGGATGAAAACAAGAGTCCAGCTGTTCATTAACGTAGTTTACAGTTAACTTGTTTTTAATAGTGTGTTCAGTTTAATTATCAGTGTTTGTGTGACATACAGTTTGTGGTGTTGAATAAATAAATAAAAATTAAACCTGATGTCTTCATTTTCAACTTTAGTGTTCACGCTATATGTTTAGCATCATTTTAAATTTGAATTACATAATGTCCAGATAGCTTCATTTAGCTTAGAGCTTCATTATATCTCTCACACCAACATAAATACGGTTTATTATTATTAAACTGTTGTTATTTAGCACATTTATGTTATAGTGCAGCGCGACGTGTGTGCGTGCCACGTTCTATAAACAGCGACATTAGAACTGGATCAGACTGTCTCTTCCAACACAGATGTCGGTCACAGCACCTGGAATCTGACGTAGATTAACTACGAGATAAAAAATATATTCCATCAGTTGTAGTTCTGAAAGCAGTGTGTCCGCCGCCATGTTGATAGAAATATAGCGCGTGTGCGCATGTGGTTTAACACAAAGCCTCAGCGGGAGATGTTTACATTATCAGCGAGGAGTCAGCGAAAAACCTCCACTCTGGAAGGTGGGTTCAGAAACCTCAGGATTCAAAGAGGGGGGGCCACTGGTGTCGTGTAAATGATCAGCAGAACCACAGAGAGGAAAGCTGCGGATGCACTCAAAATACGTGCCGTGTAAACGGCCCCTTATAAGACTTTCTACCATCCCTTGGCAGTTTCTTGCCACTGAATAACATTTTTCTTTGACAGAACACACTTATAAATCACAAAGTGTTTAAAAGTAAATTGTAAATATGAACTGGTTTCAGTGGTGATTTGAGCCTCTTTAAATTTAAACTCAGCATCTCTGGAAAAATAAACAAATCATTAGGATTGTGTAAGTAGCCATCTTTGTGAAAAGAAATTGTCCATCATTAAACAGGGATGGAGGCCTCCGTGTTCAACTGTTCCCCTCTTACAATGCTGTTACTGCTAGTATCACTCAGCCCCCTGTGAATAGTAAACAGCCATCAGTGTGCTAATGATCCATCGTCAGGCTGATGGTCCTCCTTGATCATGTGAGCAGCTGGTTTTGGTTGTCAGCAGCAAAACTGGCTGATCCACTCTGAGAAGGTGCTATTTATAAGACTGAGCTGAATACAGCTCCACAGACTGAGGAAGTCTTTCGGATGAAAGACGAAACGTTTCTACAACATTTTGTTTTGTTTTTTTAACATCCAGAGGACCAGATTTACTTTTTAAGACATTTTTTTTTCTGTCTTGAAGAGATTCTCATTTCAACTTGACCCATGATTACCATACGCTAAACTAACAATATAAAACTATTTAATTTTAATTTGATTTCATTTTTATTCAGCTATTATTGTTTAAGAGAAGACAGAAAATTAGATAGTTACCTTTGTGATACTCTGAATGCAACATTCTTCAGCAGTTCACTAGTCATTCTCCTGTGGTTTACCTGGAAAACATTTAAAAAATGGCTCATCTCCACGATCATGTTTTTCTTAAATGACAATGTCCCCATTTATGCTAGTAAGTAAGTAAGTAAACTTTATTTATATAGCACTTATCATAGATACAATCACAAAGTGCTGTACAACAATAAAGAAATAAAGGCTTAATATAAAACAAAAATAATAACAACTCATTAATAAAAACAGTAAAAACAGCTGGTAAAAACAGTAAGCTGCAGTCTTTGACAAAGGATCTATAACTTGAACTAAATTAACCACATCAGTCTCGCAGAAAAATGGCTAATAATAACAGCTAATACACAACTAGCAAGTTAACATGTTTAATTAACTAAAACTGGCGACATGAAGTATTAATGTTGATAAATTGTGGTACAGAACATTCAGCTAAGGCTTCACAATGGCAAAAAAGTGTTGTATTTTCATCAACTTACCAGAGAAAACACTTCAGAAACATGGAGAATGAACTACGTTCAATGCTGGACCCGCTACTGTTTGGAACTATTTGGAACCAGAGTCGCTGCATGACCCACGTGACTTCTGCATTCCATTCTTGCAAGAAGTCTATGGGAGCGTCCAAACGTGTGCACACAATTCATAAACGTTCAATACAAAAACAACTCAACTTTATTTGTAACAGAAGACGTTTAACTTCTCATCCGAGAAGCTTTCTCAATTCAGAGTGTGTACTTATCTGATTTTTCATTTTGGTTTAATAAACGGAAAACAAATAAGTGTGTTTTTGTTTTTTAATTTTTTGTTTCAAACGAAAAAATGAACTGCCTGAATGTACACGGACCGATGAGAAGACGGGACATCTCTATTTTTAAACAACAAAATGCTGCAAAAACTTCAGGACAACATCACATTAAAGATCCTGATCATCTTACCACAGCATTCTTTATGCCAGTCTTCGACGCCCCCCCTCCTCCGGCTGTGATCACCAGCCCTGTAGCAGGGTCCACTTTAACGGTGTACAGTGGAAAGGGGGCTCTGTACAGATCCGGCACCCTCCTCTTACCCATCGCTCTTGATCAAATGGCTGTAATAACCCAAACCTGTTAAAAACATACTGTTAGTGTTTCTTAACCTCTCATCTGCAGTGAATTTACAGAAAAAATCTGGTTAATCAACTCACTACCCAATTAACAGATTACAGAACCAAGATCAGAAATACTGAAGATATTTTGTTGACAAATTATTTAGATAAATGCTCAACATCAAAGAGAACTGAGCAAACTTTTACCGTTTTGGTAAATAAATTAAAGAAAAGTTACAAACTATCTTGTGTGATCAGTTAGCTGTCAGAATATTATTGTGGCCAACTCTTAGTTACTACCACGCCAAGCGTTTGCTCTGTATACTGACTTGGTGACTTTAGTTGGGGCTTCACACCAACAGAAGTAAACTTCACTGGTCTAAGTGACTATATTTATTTTATTTGTAATTATTTTTGTATAGGATTGTTATGGTGCTATTTTTCTTGGTTAACTACAAAATAACATGTAATATTTTAGTAGAAGTAGTCAAGAGACTGGCTTTGTTGTTCCTGCAACCAAACTCACACAACTCTTCAGTCCTCCACAATAAGAGTCTTGAACACATAAAAACTGTCTCCATGCACCTGAAAAACTACTGAAATTAGATTACATTATTGTTCTCCAGTAAAACAATGCGGCAGCCTAGACCACTAAATATTCTATAAGTATTTAGAAGACAATACTCTTCAGTATACATATATATTTTCAGGTCTCTCTTGTAAATGAGTCCTCGAGGCTCAATGGGATTTACCTTTATAAATAAAGGTTGATTGATGTATACGTATTACTGCTTGTTAAGGTTTTTGTTAACACTGACAATATCGAAATTAAATACAAAAATAAATCCTCTTTTTTTCTGACTGGACCGATTTCGCTTTCATAAAAATATGATGTAAAGGCAAACTTGTAAAAATAATCTAAACAATCACATTTTTCAGTAAACTCTGGGTCTGAATTACACAATGGATGGATAGCTTCTCTAACTGCTGCCTGTCAGTCTCTACAACTCTGACTCACAGACACATTATTTATTCATACTTGAGCATTTACAGCCCGACACCACATAGGCCTTAGATTACTTTAATAACTCATATAATAATGACAGACTAATAGTCTAGTTTTCTATGAGTGAACGTCAACATAAAGTTGCTAAACTAACTGTGTATGCTACAGCGCAGCTAACGCCAGTTACCTCTCATCATATTCCAGTTCAATTCATTTACCTGTGCTGTTGGTCTTTTTATCTTATGTTGTGTTTTATCAGACAGCTAGGTAATAAATCTGCAGATGTCATACTGAACTGTAAAGAACAAGCGTGAGCGTTTAGGGAGAGTTATGCTAAAGCTAGCTACAGTTCAGAAAGCCTTCCGGTTACACGTCATCAACACAAACCTTACTGCCGCGTACGTCAATACGCAGAGGTACGCACATAGATATCATATATGAACACTAAATACAGCATTGACTGCCGTAGGGCCGCCATCTTGGAACGGTCGACCACTCCACTCAGTGTAACCTGTTTGACAGGAGCAATGAAGTATCTACGAGTTTAATCAGTCATAGCTGAATACTAAACTCATTCTCACGATTTTTTCCTCTGTAAATCTTAGGAGTACAGCCATTAAAGCTGAACACAGTGTATTTAAATATTGTTGGAGGGGTTAACATTAACACTAATAAAATGTTCTTCTGACACGTTTGCAAAACTCACCGTCACTGATACATTTTTATTAAGATCTAT